CCACTGAACTCATCCAACACCAAAGCAGCACACACGGATCTCCCAATTAATTTTAACCCACTAACAACTGAAAAGATTATCGTGGACATCAGATAAATCAAGATCAGCAAAGTAACAGGAACAGACAACATACCACTGAGGCACTGGTCAGTAGACATAAAAGCGACTATATGAATATTGTTCACTCTGCTCAGGAAGATTTTAGAAGACCAAGTTATAACAGACTGGAAAGAAGGACACCTTATCAAGGTAGCAAAGAAAGATGATCTCAGAAAGTGTCAGAGCTACAAGTTAGCCACTCTACTCTGAATATTAGGAAAAGTCTTCAGCTGAGTGTTTTCTTACCCATCGAACGATTCATAAGGCTCCCAACTTTGAGATCAACTAGCTGGATTCCGCAAGGACCATGTAGCGACCAGATCGCGACACTAAAGATTATTGTGAAACATTCAGTTGGGTGGATTTCACTACCACAAATCAACTTTACTGACTGTGAGAAAGCATTCGACAGCATAGGCACGATAGCAGCACGGAGGTGTCTTCGATATTGTGAAGTGCTTGAGAGGATAGTCAACATCATTCGGAATTCTTATGATTAGCTAAACCGCAAGATCATGCATGGAGTACAGCTTACCGACTCGCTCGAGTTGAAGACCGGTATCAGACAATGTTGCTTACTCTCACCCTTCCTCTTTCTCCTGGTCATTGGCTGTATTATGAAGACGCCAACATCTGGATGGAAGCACAGAATACAGTGGAGTGCCAGGATGCAGCTTCACGATTTGGACTTCGCATATAATCTGATTCTTCTATCTCATGCGCAACAACAAATGCAAGAGAAGATGACCAGCGTAGCAGCAGCCTCTGCAGCAGTAGGTCTCAACATACACAAAGGAAAAAGCAAGATTCTCTGATACAGCGCAACATTCACCAGCCAAATCACTCTTGATAGAGATGCCTTGGAGGACGTTAACACCTTCACATATCTGATCACCATTGGTGATCAAGGTGGATCTGATGCAGATGTGAAGGCGTGGATCGGCAAAGCAAAAGCAGTATTTTTAAAACTGACGTCAAAGTCAGAATATTCAATACCAAGATCAAGACAGTTTTACTATATGGATCGGAAATTTGGAAAGCTACAAAGCAATAATACACAAGATACAAGTGTTTATGAACAGTTGTCTTCGCAAAATACTTCAGATCCGTTGGCCAAACACTATCAGCAACAACGTACTGTAGGACAAAACAAACCAGATTCCAGTGGAGGAGGAAATCAGGAAGAAGCGATGAAAGTGGATAGGACACACATTGCGAAAAGCACCGAACTGTGTAACAAGACAAGCCCTCACTTGGAACCCTCAAGGTCAAAGGAAAAGAGGAAGACCAAGAAACACATTACGCCGAGAAACGGAGACAGACATGAGAAGACTGAACAAAAATTGGACAGAACTGGAAAGGGAAGCTCAGAACAGAGAAGTTTGGAGAACACTGATCGGCTTTGTATGCTTCATTAGTGATAAAAGGCCTTAGTAAGTAAGCATATACATGTAAAATTCAATTACTATGAATAATAACGGAATGAACAACATACCTTGAACTTTTTCAATTAATTTTACACAATAATTTTCGATCAATGTTCGACCGGAACATTTTTTCCAATGCATTAATCTTACATCGATTGGATCACCACAACCTGATTGAGCACTTGAACAAGAATAACAGTATAATTCAGCTGAAATTGTTTCTAAAATTGAAATACAAAAGAAACATTTGTAAAAATTTAGTTATACTTCTTCAAAATTTATTCATCTAATTGAAAAAGTAACGTTGTATGCATCAGTAACTATTGTGACACTGTTTGAGCTACACAAATCGAAATAATCAAAACAATAATAATGGCTATATATTCAGTATGATGGAATCTCAGCAAAGAAATATTTTAACAAGTTCTCTATTCATTGTATATTTTCTGTCACTGCAATATCTCCGAGTGTACTTTTTTGTACTCTGTAATTTAAAAGTCGTAAACTTTTTATCAACACAGCAGTAAATCCAAAGGTGAAAGCAAATAGTGAATGTTTTGCAAATATTTTTCAATTAAAGCTATACTATTCCATCTAAATTCTTGACTCTTTCATCCAAAATCACAATGAAGATGATCTATGTGCAATGTTATTTTCATGTTCTTTGGTGACACTCGTACATGAATGATGGATATTTACCGAATTCTGAAAGTGGTTCTGAGGATCACTTGGTTAAGACAAATGTTTCATGACGTCTAATTCTATAATAATCACACGGTTTTAGTTAAAATTCAAAGCAATGATTAATAAAACAAACTGTTTGTGCTTGTTTACTTGAAAGTGCAAATCTGTAAGATACTGAATTATTCAATAGTGACTAGCTATGACTTTTGGTTAGAAGCTCAACCTGCTCAATATTAGATAACTAAGTAAGATGGCTCGATCTCTTTTAAGAAATGCGACATTTTCATGCCCGTTTACATAAAGATCCGTAATAATGATTTGTAAGTTTTTACAAGTCGTTTTTAGTCTGTTCGTATTAAAATGTAATACTGAAAAGCCATTGGGTAGTGGCTTGATATCTTAGAGATTCACGAAAATTCTTAAGTATAACAGCTACTTTTTATTAAAATTTGTATTTTAAAACCACCCATTATTTATTTATCATTTAGTATAAACAGGAAAACTAACACAATAGTTTCGTTTCCGGTTTCATTGAAAAATGACTTGCTCTTGTTTAAAAAAGAATTTAATGAACTTATTCACCTTAAAAGCTAGTAAAAACAATGAAAAAAATAACTAACCAGCCGCTAGATAAACTAAACAAATAATAAATATAACATTCATTAAAGTGTAAACTGATGTTTACACTTTCATAAATTTGCCATTAAAAACTACAGAGTAAAACAATATCAAATTATCAATGTCTAATATTTCTAATTGCCTGCTCTTCATTTTACATGACTGGTTACAATTGATTCACCCTAATATGCACTCAATCTTCATATTCCCGATTCCTTATGCTTTGTGTTTTTGCTATGTTTCCTATGGATTGTCATACTTTAACATTTTCAGACATTGAAAATTTGTATGCTTTCACTTTTATCTAACAAGTCAGTAATGACTACCAGGCAGAAGAGTGAGTCTACGATGGCCCTTTGTAAAACTCCTGTTGTTGAAACTTGAAAGCTTGCATGCACTCTGTTTACCTTGGTAAGTAACTTTTTCTTGGGAGCCAGGATAGAAGTGGATCAGTGAAGCCTATTTCGCAACCTTCACAGGTATGGGTGCGTGAGGTACTGCATCGAAATGTTTTGCGAACACAGGCAATATTATATGATGACTGGAAAAGGAGTGGCTTGTTTCTATCCAACTGTAAGTTGGTGCTACTTCCGTGGATGCATGTACTGGTCACTCATAAGTGAACTCATTGCTTCTGCATACTGTTTGCAGGGCGAATACTATCACATTCTATTGACTTTCTTATGTGCAATCACTTTATTTTTTTCGATGCTGTGCCAGAATTATGTCGGATACTGCCCAGGCCATCACCTGGCACTAGGTTTGATCAGTATTCTGAATTTGTAGGTGCGAAGTTTAAGCGATTGGTGAAGTTGGTATTAAAGATCCCGCACATCTCGAAGTTAGTAAACTCTGCTTTTTTAACCTTAGAAAAATACTCTGGTTTGTAGGGTTTTATTCAGTTGCGAACGTATACAGATATTTTGGGTTTGCCTATATTTCGGAATCCCTCAGAGAGACGTTCCACTTACGCCAGGCTCTCCTTTTTGCCAGTGGCAAGCGTTCGCTGCCTGGCTCAACCCAAGTTTTTCTCTTTACCGGTGTGCGATGCGCCTGAAGCACGTTGTGTAGGACAACATTTTGAATGATTTCTCTCACTGTTCCACATTGTTCATTTACAATTGGCTTCCTTTCTTCCCTTTGCCAAAGGACGTTTATAAGATACTCTCTCATAGTCGTGTCGCTTGTTAAGGCTTAACAAAGTTAAGAAGTATTTTCGTCCCTCTTGCATACTACATTTTTGACCACGTTGCTCATGACTGCGCCACGGTCACCACTTCCTATTGCCATGTGGACATGGACATCCTCGATCAGGAGCTGATTGTTAGTTGTCAAATAATCTAGTCCATCTCATGACGTCGCATACATGCTCAATCAACCCGTAAATTCTAGTGACTTTGACAAGTAGCCTGTGAAGCGGACTTGTGAGAGTTGTACAGTGTTTGCTGAGGTTTAGGGATGTGGTGTTGAAACCTTTAGCTAAGAGTATTAGGATCAAACACAAGGGTGCCATTTGCAGTGAGGCGCACCTTAATTTATTTTTTTAGTCCCTCTAGTCAGGTATTTTGTGCCATGCCCGCTGAAACAGCACCAGCATGATTCTGTTACTTCCGTTATTTGGGTACCGTGTTGTGTTTCTGCTGTCAAATTATATAGCCACTCCACCTCGTTTCTTGCGTACCCGACTGCACCGGAAGATTTTGGTGCGCTGCAAGCTCACTTCATCATCTGCAATATCGAGGAATAGCCATATTACAGCCAAGATTACGTTCTTCGTATCAGTCTGAGAGCACAAATTCCTGATCTTAAACAGCTCACCCTTGCTTCTCTTGCGTTGCTCTGAAGGCCTAATCACCGGCTGCCCCTCATCAGCAACAGCCATTATCGCGTGTTTAAACGAGTTAGCAAGTTCTGTAGGTTTCTTGCATGTGTATTCACTCGGTGAAACCTTATATCTGTCTCTGATGTTGAAGGTTGTCGATCAAAATCAACTAATATTTGCGTGTGCTTAGTTTGACCTCCCTGTTTTTGTCTCACTTGTCTATATGGGCTCTCGCAACATCTAGTGTTGCCAGATAGTTAGTTTTTCATGCTGTGCAAAGCCTGGGGGGGCTCATTTAGGTCTTCTCAATTTCTGAGGTTCACAGCCATTTGATGTGTAGTGTCGGTAGCCGTGTGGTGTGAAGGACGAGGTAGCAGGGATACGCTAGATACCATGATGATTTAAAAGCCTATGCTACGTGATATGCACCGTCACTGTTTCCCACCATATGCGCAAGCCTTATCAAGGCAACCACTAACCTGCTCAGGCACGCCGTGAACTGCCATACTGGGTTATTCTCAGAGGCCTTCCGATGTCCTGGTAGCTGCTCGCACTGATGATCGTTCGCCGTACCTGATTCTGATTAGGGATGACAACTTGAACAAGGATCTCTGAGATCTTATGAGAATTTCTTCCTTTTCTTGCACCGCGTCTTAAGTTACCCTCAATGGTTAGGGTTTCTTTTTAGCGACGTTCTGACCACGGAACATAAAACACTGTTTTACCGGGGTGCTGCTTATTCCAAGCATTGTGCAGTATCTGTGCCGCTGTCCTTTATCAAAGACGGCCTTACTTTCCAGTGATCCAAGCTCCCATATTGGGAAATTAAATCAAGTAAGCGAATTTTTCTAACGCCCTTGTCCCTGATTTGTAGCGTTTATCGATCTCTGGTGTTACCCTTTCCATTTATTAGACGCACATAACTTTCCGCACTGTTAACAGATACTAGAGTGTTTACAACAACTGCTAGTTTCGTCGATGTATTGGTCCGCGTTACGGCTACCCTTGTCACCTGTTTGGTTGGTTTATTTCTGGGCCAATCAGGTTTATTCATGGGTTGGTAGGTTGGTTTTAGATAAGTTCTGTGTCTTCGCTGCTGTTATTTTTCTAGTCTCAGTTATTCTGCACTGTGGACAAAGGTATCAGAACCTCGGATGTAGGTGACTCAAAATGAACCGTTTCACAGACGACTTGTCGCAGACATTAGAATTTACCAAGTAATTGAGCATGTATGCAACGCCAGTCAAAATATCGTGTTGTGAACATTCCACCCAACGTGATGCGAACAACCTAGATTCTTACCGGAAGTGTCGTCAGAGCTCTGTCTCGTTCTCATTCTCACAGTAATGTTAAACATCAGTTCAGACTACATAGGAGATGCAGCCATGGCAAAATCAACTTTTCGTTCGACGGAAGGATAATCCACATCTGTTTCTAACCCTCTTTAAAACATACGCACGCCACACCTCGAAGTTCGCAGAGTTGTCGCTTTTTATCTTCTGAAAAGAGACGTAAATCTCCTGGATTGAATGGCGAAACGGGCATCTAAATGGGTGATATTTTTGAAAAATGACCATGCGAAGATAGAAACCAACACCACTCTTAGTCTGATAGTTGCTGAAATCTCGTAACCCTGAGACAAACGAACTCGACCAAATCACGCGACATACAAGTTCATCAAGAATTGTCAAATGACTAGAATTAGTGAGTCTAGTTGCCAGACTACCACCCACCGCGGTTTATCAAACACCTAGGACTGCATCGAAAGAACTAGAAGCGAAAGCAGAGAAACCAACTTGTTTATTCTGGCTTATGAAAAAAATATGGGATATTTGAAATTTTGATGTACCAAGTTAGCACATACTTTCCTTTGAAAATATGTTATTTTGAGGGGTTATTCATGTCCAAACAGTTAAAGGCATTAACATTTGGTAATGACCAACTTGGTATTTATCGTTGTTTACATGTTTTGAAAACTCCATAACCTTGTGAGTTCATTTTTCATGCCCAGATATCGATCGCAAATGCTACTAGCGCTGGGTTTGAATGTCTTTTAAATTTCGGGATATGAGTAGTGTACAATGTACTGATCAAAAAAGCAGGTAAGTATTTACTCCGTATTCAGCCTTTTTTAAAATCTAGCGGTAGCGATAGTAGCAGTACTGGAGAGGAAGAAAGACTCAGACAATTATTTCTAAGCTGTGATTCTAATAATGATGGATGCTTAAATTGTGAAGACTTGTACGATATGTGTAAAAAACTAAACATGGCAGAATGCGCGGATGAAATTATAAACACGCTTGGGGCTAATACTAAAGGGAGCATAACATTTGATGAATTTCTTAGCTGTCGAGAGAAAGTTTTTCAAATGCAAACTGAAGCGGATAATATACATTTCACTAAACCTGATTTAACACATCATCAAAATTATAAACAGTTAGGATATAATTGGTCTGGTAAATCACATGCAAGTATTCCAAATAATGGGCAAGAAATGAATGAAAACTCTATTCGTAAAACAAACGAAAATATCAATCTCGGAAGTTCTGCAAGCGAAACCAGCCTTGTTAACTCAGGTTAGATTATACAGACATTCTGATGTTTTATTATTTAAAACTTTATTCAATACATCACTCTTCTGTCAAGAATACTTATGTTGGGTTGCCAGAATTCTCACTGTTTGGTAATATAAAAACGATCTCATCCAGATCATGAGTGAACTTAGTTTTTTATGAAGTAAAAAGCACCATAAAGCTGTATCACTACCCGTACTTTATACATTCTAACGAGAGTTTTAACTCTCATCTAACGAAGGCCTCGTCCATATTGCAGAAAAGTGACTGAGAACTAATAGTAAAGTGTGATCAAAGTATTTACTGCGAACCAGTAATTAGTTTGTATTTTACTGACACCAAATCCCTTAGTTTAGAATAATCTTCAACTTAGAGGCATAATACCACTGTTGAAATGAATAAATGTAGAGAGTAGTGACTAGATCTGATTCTCTCTACCGATTAGTATTATTAGACACCATAGCTTAGACAACAAGTGCTATTTTAACTACATTTATTGACTGCATCACGTTTTAGTTGCCAAAGACCGTTTGTATCAACTTTTTGCACTGAGAACTTTATAATGTTACCAATTTCGAACAAATTGAGACTTAATTAAAAGCTTTAAAAAATTTAAATAGTCATTTTTCGGGACAGTTAGTACAGTTACTGTATATTTGGGTAAACAAACATATACGTAACAACTGTTTTATGTAAAACCTTATAACCTGAAGTCTTGACATTTTTTTCTGTCATGGATTGTTCTGAAGTCGATTAGTAACTGAACAAATGTTTTTTTAGATAACTAAGACCTCCCTTACTGGCTCAGTACAACCGAGCATAACGTGTATGAATTTATGAAAGTGACGTACTAATCTGTTGAAGGCAACTGACCAGCATAAATAAATCTGAAAATGTGAACAAATCTGTTCTTTGATTTTATAGTAAATGCTGGTAGTGTGTTATGGCATTGAAACTTATGTTATTTTCCAACTTGTGCGCGAACGCCTTATCTCTGAACCACTGAGCTGATCGGCATCCAGCTATGTTCATGTCTAACTGTGATCAATCTAAAGATTATGCTCAACCTTACCCATTTTCCTTTAGTAGTTGCTGCCTACACTCGACAGGGCTGACCTCCACTGGTCACGTCTTCTTAACAGAACTCCAAGAATTTCCTCACGAAACTAGTCATTACTGAGCACATTGTACGGTTTTTCATTATAGAGTTATGGAGATTGTTGTTTGTTACTGAAATCATCAATAAATCATCGTTAGATTCACGATTTGATTGAAGAATAACTAATGGAAAATATGCTATTTTGTTTAGAATTCTAATAGTTCTTATTTTTTGCAAAACCACCGACTGCCTCGACGAGCTTTGTTTTGTAGTTTAGGAATAGGTTGGAAGAAAGTTAGGGGCGGCCAATCCAAAACATGGCCAAAATCCATGAAGTCATTGACGAGTGGACTTAGCCATGTCGGTAGTTGTCGATTACCTGGTTGGGGTCTGCGAGATGATAATAATCGATGGTTAGAGACCTTGAATGACATGGCTCAAAACCGCCACCGGTGCACTTATTCTTTATGTTCTCTCAAATCCTAATCTTCTGGATTCTTCAATACCCCTAGTTTTGACTTTCTAAACTTTTCTCACTGAATCATACTTCTTGAATAATATCTTTTAATCCTAACCTCTCGAATTACTTCTAATACCTTTACTACCTCTTCTACTATTGGATTTGAATTGACAATTATATCTCTGTGCTGATGTGGTATGGCGACATGAACTGATGTACTTACGTACAAAGTTCTACGTTGCATCTGACTGACTGACTGACTGATTTTTTGCAAACATGCATGGATGTTTTTATTCTATAGATAGACAAAGCTTTTCTATTCATGAAAGTTACTTCCAGGATATTTAGTCGATGTATCGATAAATCCTAGTTGAGAAAGCATAAGCGACATATTTCTGATTAGTTCAAACATATGCTTAGATGAGACAAATAAGTTTTATCAGTAATTTAGGCTTTATTACTATCGATACGAATGTTTCCGTTGTATCAACTAGGTTGTGTGAAAGTAAATGTACATTCAAATTCTTTTATGTAGACATTTCCTTGTTTATAACCTTATGTTATAAGATTTGTTTGTTTTTCTCAACCATGTTGACCCAGCTTCTTTTGTATCCGTTGTAACTCAACCTCTCCATATTGAATGGTAAAACTTTCCCTTTAGGTTCAACCATATCAACTAAGTTACTAACTAACTATAAAGTTCAAGTGCTAAGTTGCATTGCCGACTAAGCAAGAATGTATGACAGCATTAAGATACTCCACACAAATATATAACATTTTCTATGGTTACGGTATCCCATAGACATGACACATCTCATATTTCCTCACAGAAATATGCAGACTTTAGAGTAAAAATCATTATGAAAGATCCCAAGTGGTTGATTTTTGGTTTCACAACTATGGTCTGTGGTCAAATAAACTTCTACTACTACTAAGTCCGCTTTGGATGAGTCAATCAGCTAAAACATAGAACTTCGTACGTACGTACGTACGTGCGTACATCAGTTGCCATCAGTCAGTCAGTGAGTCAGATGCAACGTAGAACTTCGTACATAAGTACATCAGTTCATGTTGCCATACCACATCAGCACAGAGATATAATTGTCAATTCAAATCCAATAGTAGAAGAGGTAGTAAAGGTATTAGAAGTAATTCGAGAGGTTAGGATTAGAAGATATTATTCAAGAAATATGGTTCAGTGAGAAAAGTTTAGAAAGTCAAAACTAGAGGTGTTGAAGAATCCAGAAGATTAGGATTTGAGAGAACACAAAGATTAAATGAACCGGCACCACTGCAAACGGTTTTGAGCCATGTCATTCAGGGTATCTAACCATCGATTACTAACATCTCGCAGACCCCAACCAGTTAGTCGACAACTACCGACATGGCTAAGTCCACTCATCAATGACTTCATGGATTTATGCCATGTTTTGGTTTGGCCACCCTTAACTTTCTTCCAACCTATTTCTACACTACAAAACAAAGCTCTTCGAGGCAGTCGGTGGTTAGACATACGCAGCAAATATCCCAACCACCTCAACTGATGAAGTTTCATTACTTCATTTATTGATCTACTATTCTTACCTAGCACCCGTTTCCTAATAACAGCGTTGCTAACTCGGGTGTCCCACGATATACGAGCAATGCTTCGAAGACACCAATGATCGAAAACCAATAACCGACGACTATCTTCTATTCTCATTGGCCATGTTTCACAGCAGTAAAGTAAGACGGAGCGAACTACTGCACAGTACACTCGTCCTTTTATTCAGCGAACGGATATCTCGCCTACGCCATAAGTGACGCAACTTGGCAAAAGCCAATCGAGCCTTCTGTATCCGTGCTAAGATTTCGTCACACACACCAGGCCATCAGTTGCCATACCACATTAGCATCTTGGATCAAATAAATTGTTACCTTTGATCTTTTTATTGAACAAAGTTTTCAATTTTTTATTGTTCTGTTTACCTTGTTTTTAAAAAAGTTATCTTTCATTTATTTAGGAGCAGAATATGATTCTGGTGCACAAGATCTTTGTGGTGAACCACAAAGTTTACATTTACTAATACAACGTGATTTTCCTGATTTATATAAAATTGTTTTTTCATTATTACCTTACAATTCAATAAAAACTAATTTTGATAATCCTAATGTAAATACTACTAATAATAATCCGATGTATAATTTTTCAAATCAACAATTTACTAATTTATCAAAACATACCGAAGAAACACAATTATTCGATATAATAAAATCAACTGACATCGAATCCAACGCGTGTAGTAATAATAATAATAATTATTATGATTATTATTTACAAAATGTAAAACATTTATTTGAATGTGCTAATACTATTCATATACAAAGAACAACTCAATTACGTGCAGAAATACGTGATCTATCACATAGACTACAAGGATTACAGGTATGTTTGAAATGTTTGAGTTTATTGTTATGTATAAATTGTTTTTGCTCAAAATATGCTATTTCTTATGTTAAATGTCAACCACTTCGCTTATCTTGAGAGTTTCATCAGTGCTGATGGCCTGGTGTGTGATGAAATCTCAGCATGGATACAGAAGACTCGATTAGCATTTGATAACCTTCATCATTTATGGTGTAGGCGAGATAGCCGTCTGTTAACCAAAGGATGAGTCTACTGTGTAGCAGTTTGCTCTGTCCTAATTTATGGCTGTGAAAAATGGCTAGTAAGAGTAGAAGATATTCATAGGAAGGATTTGATTTTGACCAATTTGGTCTCTTGTGAGGGCGGTTTTCACTTCCCGCCTGCCCATACCGTGGAAGGTTGTTTGTTGAGGAACCTGAAAAGGAAGATAGATTATTGTTGGTCTTAGAGACCTGGTTGCGTAACCGCAGAGCTCAAGGGACAACTGGTTGAGGCCGGTCACGCACGGCCTTTTTATGAAGGGTTTTTTGAGGATTAGCTCCGTTCTTAAAGGCCCTTAGTGGGCAGCCCTTACCGCCGGAGACGGAAATCCGTAAGGTAGGGTGAGGTGTGACATTTTTAGGGTTGACCTTTTCTAACCCTTACTTCCTTGTGAGAAGGCAGCATCGCTGCAGATGCTGGTTGTCCAAGGGAAACACCTTACTGCTGTCACACCCCTCCATCACAGTCAGCAGTACGACTTCGCCCTCAGACCTTGAGTAGCTGTTTTTAGTCTCATTGTTCTCCAATCGACCTGCCTGGCATGGTAGAACCTTCAGGAACATATGTCGCAGCCAGTATAGTTCGGTTGGGTCATCACGATAGGCAAGCCCGACCACCACATCAAGGTAGCAGCTTCGGTCGGGCATCCATATGTTACTAGTTTTCGATCATAGGTGTCTCCGAAGCATTGCTCGTTTATTTTGGGATTATCGAGTAAGTAATGAAGTTGTTAGGAAACGTGTTCTAGGTAAGGATGACAGATCAATAGATGAAGTATTGAAACTTGATCAGTTGAGGTGGTTGGGACATGTTTTATGAAAGCCCAACCACCGACTGCCTCGACGAGCAATGTTCTGTAGTGTAGGAGTAGGTTGGAAGAAATCTAGAAGCGGGCAAACCAAAACATGGCATGAATTCCTGAAGTCACTGACAACTGGACTGAGTCATGTTTGTAAATGTGGACTACCCGGTTGGAGTCCGCGAGACAATAGTAACCGATGGTTACAGACCTTGAGTGACATGGCTTAAAATCGTCTGTAATGGCGCAGATGCATCCATTCTTTGTGTCCTCTCAAATCCTAATCATCTGAATTCCATATGACTGTTTTTTCTCTGCTTTAACTGATTTCTCTTGGGTATACATCTCGATTAATATATTCGATCAGTAACCTTTTTGATTACCGCAAATACTTCTACTACCTCTATTACTACTATGAGATTTGAATTGACAGTTGCATTTCTCTGTGCTAATGTGGTGTAATGACTAGAACTGATGTACGTACGTATGAAGTTCTACGTTGAATTTACTCGCTCCTAATCGGAAATATAAATAGTATGTGATCATTATTTAAATTTATCAGAACACATAAACATTCGTACAATGTGACATCTAAATATTTAAGCAACACACAAATGATGGAGTTTGTAAGTAGAATGAGACACTGTTCAAACGCCCAAGCAGGTGTTGTTATCATGGTGAACGACCCCGAGCTTTTGACACAAAGACAGTAGAGCAACATCACCAGATGTAACCCCGCGGTAGCCAATGACCAACAGTGGGATTATAAACCATCCTGGAGCTTATATACACCATTGTTTTGGAATGAGAGTTTTCCAATTCTCCTAGATAGATCCTCCATACTCCGTCAACCTAGTTGAAGGCTTAGCTTGACATTCAGTTATTGTCCTCTAACCCTACTAAGAATAATAGGCTTTACAAAGTTATAAAATAAACCACTATCATACATACAGCTAAGACTTACAACTCTACAGCATTGTATTCAAGAGAGATTAGTCATACTGTAGTGAAGGAGAACACAGGTGAGGGCAATCGAATTGTATTTAACAAAAATTACAGAGTTACTCAGTAAAATAGGAAAACCATATCGTAACCGTTAATTTGCAAATCTTCAATCCATCATCAGTCCATTGTCTAACATTTCACTCACTATTCATGCGTTTCATACAACTTCCATTTTGTTCCCACTCTTCCTTTCTTGATCTTCCCCCATCTTCTGCTGCCAGACATTACGTTTACACTCGCGTCATATAATACTTATAAGTAGCGCGCACCACAATACTATTATCTATACTAAAATTGTAATGATAGTGAGATATCCTCTAGAGACACAGACAACATATTTCCAAGTATTGTATCTTTTCACAGTCAGAAGACCATCTCTACTAATTTTATTCGTAACTAGTATTCCTCAAGAAGAAATTCTCTTCTATTATGTTATCAATGAGTGACTGTCAACTGTTCATGCACTTTTAATTGCTTTCAATTCGGTCAGTCAGTCAGTCAGTCAGCCAGCTAAAACGCAGTACTTCGTACATACGTACATCAGTTCAATTTTTCATGCCACATTATCACACAGAGATGTAATATTTGGATCCGATTCTAACCGATTTGGTCTCGTTTGCTTTTATGGATATCAGGGCGATCTTACTTCCTGGCTTCTCACACTATCAATTCAAATCCCATAGTGATAGAGATAGTAGAAGTAGTAGCAGTAATGGAGAAGATTAAGGTTCGAAGAACTTATTCAAGAAGTGTAATCCAGTGAAATAAATTTAAAAAGAAATAAGAAAGAGCCTGATCTCATGAGGTCATGGGCGAAGACAAAAAAATGGATGTACCTGGGCCATTGCAAACGATTTCAGGCTAGGTCACTCAAGGTCTCTAACCACCGGTTACGATTGTCTTGCGGACTCCAGGCAGGTAGTCTACACCTATTAACATGACTCACTTCAGTTGTCAATGGCTTCATGGATTTGTTACATGTTTTCGTCTGGCTGCCCCTAACTTTTACCAGCCGACCCCTATATCACAAAACATAGCTCGTCGAGGCAGTCGGTGGTTAGGCATGCGTAACACATGTCCCAACCACCTCAACTGATGAAGTTTCAATGCTTCATCTATTGATCTGCCATCCTTCCCTAGTACTCGTTTCCTAACGACAGCATTGCTTATACGGTTGTCCCACGGTATAAGAGCAATGCTTCTTAAACATCTATGATCGAATACTAGTAACCTACGAACATCTTCTACTCTTAACGGCCATATGGTAGGACGGGGCGAACTGCTGCGCAGTACACTCGTCCTTTGGTTAGCGAGTGTTCTGCCCAGAGATTAGGTGTTCATGAGCAAGACCGAAAGCCCTGCTTTCGAATCCTGTGAGTAGCAGGAATCATAGATATGGGCATTACTGACGAGTAGTCCTATATCAGAACGAAACAGCCATCCAGTGCTTTTTCCAAGTTTCTAATGCCAGTCTAACAATGATTCATTTATGAATGTAACTGAAAAAAAAATCTTAGAAAGCATCAATGTTAGACCACCATTAGAAACCTGGAAGCACTGGACTGCCGTTTCGTCCTGTTATGGCACTCTTCACTAGTGACTAGCTTCGTGAAGAATCTTCTCCGAGTTATAGTGGTGGGAAGACGTGACCAGTGAAGTTCAACCTGTTCGAGTGTAGACGGTAACTACTACCAAAGACTGTGTATGAGGTTGCGCAACTCCGTGAATTTGATCAAGTTAGACATTAACACCATTAGATACCGGCCCAGTGGTCTAACGGTTAAGGCGTTCGTGCACAATACCGAAGGTCCTGGGTTTGAATCCTGCAGGGTGCAGGAGTCTTGGATGCGCACTGCTGAAGAGTCCTTTACCAGGACGAAACGGCCGTCGTACAGTGCTTCCAGGTTTCTAATGGTGGTCTAACATTGATCGATTCATGGTTTCAAGAGAATGTGTAACTTAACAATCTTCACAACAACCCTGTAATGCAAATATAAAACTTCTATTTATTATACATTATTATTCAATAATTTACTTCAAATTCATTTTAGACAAATCGAGATATGCATTATCGTGAAATACAACGTTTACATTGTGAAAAACAACAATTACACAACGAGTTCACCAACCAAATCTCACGTTATGAAGATCGTCTCACGGAATTACATAGTGTCATTGCAGAATTACGACGTCGTTTAGAACATTCAGAATCAAATATTATACATGAAGTAGAAGAATTCGAAGAGAATGATCACGATGATGATGATGATGTTGATGACGGTGATGAGAACGAGGATGAGGCGGAGCAGGAGCAACAGCACGACAAGCAGGTTGATAATAATAATAATAGTGATGGATTAATAATCAAAAACAAATCTGACGAAAAATCGATAAAATCAAAATTCCCACCAATCACTGCATCCAATCATAATCATGCTAATACTAATAACCAATCAGCAGTGAATTATAATGAATTCGTTGAAAATACACATGATGACAATAGTGATACATCAGTGGATGTGATGATGGACGGTGATGATGATGATGACGAAGTTGATGGTGACGATGCTGATGCACCAGTGGAACATATTCATCATAAACCTATTGATATTGTTCGACAATATCAACATCAGTCAAAATCAATCGCATCGAATTATTTCATGTTACAAACAACTAATCTTATTTATGATCAATTAAATCATAGACATGGATTAAGTTATCCAGAAAAGAATATGGAAGATATGTCTAAAAATGATAATCATGATCTTGTAAGTTTTGTGAATTTTTATTTTTTTTAAAAACAAATGATTATGTCCAACTACCCCGACTGCCTGACCGTAGCTGCTACCTTGACGTGGTGGTCGGGCTTGCCTATCGTGATGACCCAACCGAGCTGTACTGGCTGGAACCTATGTTCCTGGAGGTTCTGTCATGACACGCAGGTCCATTGGAGAACGATGAGACTAAAAGCAGCTACCCAAGGTCTGAGGGCGAAGTCGTACTGCTGACTGTGATGGAGGGGTGTGACAGCAGTAGGGTGTTTCCCTCGGACAACCAGCATCTGCAGCGATGCTGCCTTCTCACAAGGAACGAAGGGTTAGAAAAGGTCGACCCTAAAAATGTCACACCTCACCCTACCTCACGAATTTCCGTCTCCGTCGGTAAGGGTGCCCACTAAGGGCTTTGAAGAGCGGAGTTAATCCTCAAAAAACCTTTCATAAAAAGGCCGTGCGTGACCGGCCTCAACCAGTTGTCCCTTGGACTCTGCGGTCACGCAACCAGGTCTCTAAGACCAACGCGAATCTATCTTCCTTTTCAGGTTCCTCAACAAAAACCACCTTCAACGGTGTGGGCATTCGGGAAGTGATAACAGCCCTCATACCCGTAACAGCACGAGAGACTGAACTACTGACTGACTGCCTTGACGAGTGAGTTTTGTGGTGTAAAGAAGTAGGTTGAAAAAAAGCTAGGGATGGCCAAATCAAAATATGACACTAGTTTATGAAGTCATTGACAACTGCACTGAATCATGTTAGGTGTAGGTGTCGACTACCTGGTTACAGACCTTGAATGATATGACCGTTTGCGATGGTGCAGGTGCATTCATTCTTTGTCTTCTCTCGAATCCTGGACGTGGCTGTATAGATACTACAGCGACACACTACGACAGGTCCTGGAACACAGACACACATTTAGACGTCCGACAATAGTTGTGTTCCTGGACGTAAAAGCGGCATTTGACTCAGTGGATCGTGAAGTTCTGTGGCAGTGTCTGTCATTGAAAGGTGTACCAAAGAAGTACATCAACCTTATACAAGTCCACTACTCGAAGACTACTGATCGGGTGAGAGCTTATGGCGATATGTCATCTGAATTCTCTACATCAAGTGGTGTCCGTCAGGGCTGTTCACTGTCTCCATTCTTGTTTAACTTTGTCGTAGACATCCTTTTAGAGTTAACATTAGGCCCGTCAGATTTTTCAGGGATTGACGTTCTACCAGAAAAGTCGCTTACTGATCTAGAATATGCCGATGACATAGTTCTATTCGGTGAAGACACTGACAAAATGCAGAGTCTTCTGACTACCATAAGCAACAATGCGAGCATGTTAGGGATGCGGTTTTCCCCCTCAAAATGCAAAATGTTGCTTCAAGACTGGGTTGCATCGGCATCTGAACTTAGTCGAGCGTGTTGATCACTTCACTTATCTGGGGAGTCTCATCAGCGTTGATAGCCTGGTGACTGACGAAATCTCAACCCGGATACAGAAGGCTCTATTCGCTTTTGCCAATTTACGCCGTTTATAGCGTAGGCGTGATATCTGTTCGCTAACCAAAGGACGGGTGTACTGCGCAGCAGTTCGTTCCGTTCTCCTATATGGATGCGAAACATTGCCGTTAAGAGTAGAACATATTCGTAAGTTACTAGTCTTCGATCATAGATGTTTAAGAAGCATTGCTGGTATACCGTGGGACAACCGAGTAAGCAATGCTGTCGTTAGGAAACGGGTGCTAGGTAAGGATGGCAGATCGATAGATGAAGTGGTGAAACTTCATCAGTTGAGGTGGTTGGGACATGTGTTACGAATGCCCGACCACCGACTGCCTTGACGAGCTATGTTTTGTGGTGTAGGAGTAGGTTGGAAGAAAGCTAGAGGCGGCCAAACCAAAACATGGCACAAATCCATGAAGTCACTGACAAGTGGACTGAGTCATGTTGGTAGACGTAGGCTACCTGGTTGGCGTTGGCGAGACAGTAGTAACCGATGTTTAGAGACCAAAATCGTTTGCAATGGTGTAGGTGCATCCATTGTCGGTCTTCTTAAATTCTAATCTTCCGAATTCCTTATCGCCTTCATCTTTCTGCACTCAAATTTATTTCACTGTATTATACTCCTTGAATAATATCTTCAAACTCTAATCTTTCCGATTAGTGCTAATACTTCTACTACATCTACCAGTATGGGATTTTAATTGACAATTGCATCTCTGTGCAACTGATGCAGGTGCATCCACTCTTTGTGTTCTATGAAATTCTGACCTTCTGAATTCCTCATCATCTCTATCTTTCTCTTTCGATATTTATCTCACTGAATTATACTTCTCGAATCATATCTTCGCTCCCTAATCTTCTCGATTACTACTAATACTTCTACTATTGCTATCACCCTTGCATTTGAACTGACAGTTGTGTCTCTGTGCTGATGGGGCATGGCAACCTGAACTTATGTACTTACGAACGAAATTCTACGTTGTATCTGTCTGTCTGTCTGTACGTACGTACGTACTTACGAAGTTCTTTTTTGTAATTGACTGACTGCCTGACTGATAGTAGAGAAAAATTTCTAGCTCAAATATACAATCAAAATAAAATAGGCAGATCACATCAGATTAAAGGTTGACAATAACTATTTCAACAGTGAAGTTGACAAGATTAGCTGGGAGTAGTCATCTGTGGAGACATTTGAATAGTTCACTTCTATATGAAGTTTATACTGATGATTTTGCTGTTGTTTCAGAAGAAGAAGAACAGTCAAAACTCCATGACTAAACCATCCATCTGAGTGAACGAAACTCCGTCATCAAGTTTGATCATACTAACCATTTGTGAACAGGGTTTCAACTTACAGTTTGAATCATTAAGTTTAGTTGTCAACAATTGTTTGTATATGTAAGACTAAAGAGTTAAAGAGTTCATTGATTTGTATACAGAAATATTTGACTTGTCAGATAATCAATCAGTCGACAGCAACGTAGAACTTCGTACGTGCATCATTTGAAGTTGCTGGCGTAGGCATAGCGTTGAGTCCTAGGGCAGAATTATCTCTTCTATCCTGGATCCCAGTAGATAGTCGTTTGTGCGCTGTCCGACTAAACGGGACAGTAAGAACTCAGAAGGATAGGGACACTCGCCGTTGCCTCTTCGTCATATCTGCCTATGCCCCCACTAACTGCAGTGCAGACGATGTAGAGACCTTGAATGACATGGCTCAAAATCGTTCGCAATGGCGCCGGTGCATTTATTCTTTGTGTTCTCTCAAATCCTAATCTTCTGGATTCTTCAACACTTCTAGTTTCGACTCTCTAAACTTTTCTCACTGAATCATACTTCTTGAATAGTATCTTCTAACCCTAACCTCTGCGATTACTTCTAATTCCCTTACTACCTCTTCTACTATTGGATTTGAATTGACAATTATACCTCTGTGCTGATGTGGTATGACAACATGAACTGATGTACTTACGTACGAAGTTCTACGTTGCATCTGACTGACTGAAGTTGCCATCCCATAGTGTTAGCGGTGGTTAGAAGTATTAGCAATAATGGAGAAGATTAGGATTCCAAGATATGATTCGAGAAGTATAATTCTGTGAGATAACTTTAGGAAGAGAAAGATAAAGATGATGAGGAATTCAGAAGGTTAGAATCTGAGAGAACACAATGAATGAATACACCTGGGCCATTGCAAACGATTTTGAGCCATGTCATTCCAGGTTCATCGTTTTCTAACATCTCGCGGACCCCAACCAGGTAGTCTACATCTACCAACATGACTCAGTCCACTTGTCAGTGACTTCATGGATTTAGGCCATGTTTTGGTTTGACCACCCCTAACTTTCTTCTAACCTACTCCTACATCACAAAACATAGCTCGACGAGGTAGTCGGTGGTCGGTCATACGTAACACATGTCTAAACCACCTCAACTGATGAAGTACTCAATATGGCGTCATCAATCTGTCAATCTCTTGAATTACTTGATAAATTTGTTAAATTCCTATCCTGTAAGATTGTAGAGTAATTTTACAGCTCAGGTAGATGAGATTATGATGGAGTGTTGTTCTTTGAGCTCGAGATGTTTCGGTTGTGGAGTTTTCTTTGTTCTCCTTCTTCTGAAACAACAGCATGATCACAGTATAAACTTGAAGTAGAAATGAAGTATTCAGACTTCTCTATATATATGACTCCCAAATTGTCTTGTCAAATTCGATCTTGATTGGTTATTGTTGACCTTTAACCTATGATCACATGATGAATCTTTATTGATGATTGTTTCACCCCCCCTACTTTGTTCTGATTGTTGGTCCCACGATTTATTTATGATTTTTTTCTGATTGGTCGGCAAATTGAATCGATTTCTATGTGTTTGTTGTGTATGTTGAATGACATAAGTGAGTGTTAAGCTTCTAAAAATTCTCCCTCTACCCAAGATTTTGTGAAACATGACCAGTAAGATTAGGGGATATTCATAGGTTATTAGTTATCTTCGAGGAATTACTCGTTTA